GTGCACATAAAAGAGATTTAAATTACCTGTCCGATTGGCATGGGAGATAATGCGTAACTCCAGGTAGAGGAGGTGGCGTATCTCACGAAACATAAGCTCAAATTCTTGAATGTTTTTTCAGTTAGAAGGGATTCCTTAGGTGGGTATCTAATATTCATAATCCTGCAGCATTATCCTTAGCTTCTTCCTTCGGTCCAAAATGCTGGGTTTCGAATGTGCGTCTTTTCAGTCGCTTACAATAATCGTACGTGCTAACAGTGGCTTCTTAAGTAGTATGACTTTAAAGGCCCTTAAAAATCCAAAAAATATGGAAGTCATGCAGAAAACTCTCTGTATTGTACCGATGTCGTAGTAGCTTACATCTTTAAAATTTTCCGTTCAAGGGTCTTCTAGCCTCCGATTTTTTTAAAACAGCTTTTCAATTCCCCAAAAATTATTGAGCCACAATTCATATTTTACTTAGTTTTAGGCTTTTTAAACCATAACTTGTACAATGTATGCTTAAAGAAATTCATACCTTCCTTTACGCTATTAAAGAAGGTTGCGCATAGCTCCTAACATTGTGCAGTGTATCTGGGCTACGTTATATAGTTGATGAGGAGTACTAATGTGTGCATATATGCGATGCTATTTGAAAAGAAATTTCGCGGCACCGAAAGATTTCCTTATTTAAGTCTTTTTTATTTGAATTTACCTCTTTCTGAGTATACCATTTGAAGCGCGCGTAAATAAGTACGAAAAGGAATGTTCTAATTGAAATTTCTTATGGAGTATATTTTCATTTAAAAGGTTATCGAAAGCCGATAAAGAATCGGAGCATTGACCGCACTTGTTTCTGACATTTTGGACCCTCTAACTGACTTATATAGCAGTTCTCGTTAGGCGATACAAACACTATATACATGACATAAGTTTTAACATCTCTGATTTTATGTTCTCCTGCCACCTGGTGGAAATGTGTCGTATTTTCTACTGCCTGATTCGTTGCGCTGCAAACCTTGACATTTTTCTCGCGTAGAATTTGATACAGCCTCTCGTTTGGGCATGTGGTGTAAGATTCCTTTTAATATCTTTGTAACTAGCATAGCCTCCAAAAGTAATTATCCCAAAGACCGAACTGGCAACTTAAAGTCGTTTCTTCCTCCTTCCCGAACACGGTATGTTTGATCTGTACGTAGCAGCGCTGTTCTTTTGCGCTTGCTCTCATGTTTTCGCCGTAATGCTTACTCTTTTCGGCTTTTTTAGATGGAGGTCGTAGACGCTGTGTGTGCACTCGTTCGCTCTTGTAAATATGTGTATTTTGAAAATGACAGTCAATCTCCTTGCTATTTTCGCCTTACTCCTTTCCCTGCAAATGCAGCTGTATTTTGTGATAAAATACACTCCTTCCGATACAATTGATCTCTTCACTGTTTTGTAAAGGTATCGTTCACTGATTGGGTCAGAGTGGCAGTAGGATCACGAGTTTTCTATTTTGGATCTGGGTTATTGGCTAGTCTCATTGCGGTGCGTGATTAATATTTCATTGAAGCTTCTAGCAAATACAGGGAAGACTGGCATGGTCATAGTCAACCAGCCATATCAAATCCGCAGACCACAATTATCTAAGAATTGAGAACTGATCCTGTCATTTATGGATTCAAGGCGTGCGCACCATGTATCCTATGATTGCTATTTAAACTTAGAATAACCATTTCAGTTTTTTCGTTTGTGATACTACTTGACTAATTCTTTACTGTCGATTTCCACTTCCCACCGGACATCATTTCGCTTCGGCTGGAACTGAACTGTCCTCAATCGTGCCTTACCGTCTTCCCCACCTATTTCTTGGCGCCAAAGTGTTTTCGAGAGACCTTGTTAGCTAGCTACTTGTCTCCACTGTGCCACTTCCAGGCACACTTAGTTCTGGTTTGGGGTGCCGCTGACCGTGATCTCTCTCTGCGGCGGGCGGCGGTTGCCTTCTTGTGGACCATCGAAACAATGAAGTTTCCATCTCGCCCACCACACTAGAGGGATGATCTCGTCGCCTGCATGTTTATGAAAGAAAACTGTGCACGAGAGTTTGTCGTTTTCGACAGGACAAATGAGTACCCACAGACTGGGTATTTCCGCGTGAACTTCGCAGATAAGGGTGTAGTTTTCGGTATTGTGAATTAAATCATCATAACAACATACATTTGTGGATTAATAAGTGGTGCATCCTTTGCCTGTGGTAACTGGGCATGGCTCAGTTACTTGGATACCTTTGTTAGAGGACGAATACAGCGCAGCAGTGGGCGGAATGTTTTTTCCATACTGGGGCTTCGAGATCATAATAAAGCGCATCGGGCCTGGCTTGTGAAGTACCACAGATTACTGGGCCGGTTGCCCCCTCTCATTTCCAGCGTCTAGAGAACTGCCGTTTTTGAGGCGTGCACTTCCGAAGCTGTCTCGTAAAATTAAGCATGGTAACTAACGAGGCGAGCTTGGTGGCATTTACTTGAGTGAGGCATCGCCATTTATGGCGAACTGTCAGTACTCTCCCCAGAATGAATTCTCAGACGTAGCTGCGAGTCCAGTGTCGTGCTCTACTTCCATCCGCCGTGTGGCCTTCTGGACCTTTCGATCTCGTCTAGTTAGGGATCGTCTATTCCTGTGCTTGAAGAGGGTCTGGAGAAAATAATGTGTTATGCTATTACATTGCGATAGACGGCTAGCTGATCTGCATTGGAGTGACTTATTATCCCATTTTCGTCACTGGTTTTGACCAGTAGCGTAAAAGTTGATTGGCAATGAGACCTCATACTGTCTCTGAAAACGGCGTTGGTCGTGCTCTTGCCACGTCGCCAGGCAAAGTTTCAGTGTTGAATATGGAGGTTGATGGCCATTCTGGTCGTTAGATCGACTGCGGGGCGGAGAAGTCTGACTCGACCAGCGCGCGGCCCAGGCCACTGCAATCTCTCGCGAGAGTTTCGACCGTCAAATTTGTAGATGTGGCTGGGTCTCGTCAATTGCAAATCCAAAGCCTAAGCCGATAAGACTTCGTGTTCCTGATATCGCATTTCATCGTTCCGAACTGTTTTCTGGAACTCGCCTCTATCGGCAAGTATTCGTCTTTGGTTTGGACTGCGGAAAGTGGAAACAAAGCTGGAAATTCCTCCCCTGAAGATATTTATTCCGCCGTACAATTAGGGCAGCTCCGTGAAGGTCACTCTAACGTCACTGAACACTACTGAATGTGGGTCAGTGGCTTATGTGGCGGAGCATTTTATTCAAATGTCCAGGTTTGCGTAATTTCTAAAAGAGACCTGAAAGTGGCTCATAAACATCTATTCCGATCCCGTCCCCTTTTTCTTGCCGGTAACAAGTCAAGTGTGGTTGCGGCGATTTCTCTGCAAAGCTACCTGCACATCATTATAAGAGCCGTGTTTCGAGACAAAGGTGTGTGCATTCCACTATGTCGTTTCCTGTATGCCGATAGAGTACCTACGCTACGAGGGGACGATTTCTGTTCGCTTGGGTATAGGCAAGTAAACGACTGGGTTTCCTTATAGGTCCTGCCATTCTTTTTGGATATTTGATTAATTTTGGGAAACCGTTGATTAACTTGTCTTATTAGCTACATTAAAGGTGCGTTTTCTAACTTCGAAAGCGCTCTAGCAATGTTGTGATCAAAAACTACTTGGAGAGTTGCATTAAAAATTACTTATTCTAAGATTTTTCGAATTGAGTGAATGTAATATCCTCCATAAAGTCGGTTTTTTTCCAACAACCCATATGTTTAATACTTATTTGGTTCTTTCTCCTCCTCCTCTCCTTCCTATATGTTCTTGTGAATAGGAAATTAACTCTCCCTCTCTTGTTACCGCGCGCAAGGTCACTTCCATTAACCTGCCATATCGAATTCATATATTAGCATGATTTCCACCTCCAGTTCGGAAGAATGCAAGATTATTTACCGAAAAGATATCTTGTTTTCTTTATTATTAGCGTGAATGGGAGTACACTGCACTTCCTACTTTAATTTGTTCACCTGCTCATTGTCCTATGAGCAAATGAAACGTCTTTGTTGACAGCTGATTCATTAAGCTGCAATATTTAATAGAAAATAGCGATTGGACCCTTCGTTGTCAAGCGCAAAACATACGAAACCATGCAGAAATTTTCTTCATTCTGATTATGA